GCCATTAATTGTAATAATGCAGTGAGATATATGTTAGTGCTGCACACAGAGATGTGATCTGATCATCATCAGTCTGTCTGGAGTCACATGAAGAAACAGAACAAACTGAGACAGACTCAATCCAGAAGAACTGATGCTTCAAGAAACCTCCTGCAAAGCTACAGTGCTGTTAAAAGTTTGTGTAAAATGAGGATGCTGTCAAAAAATAATATCATAGATTTTCTTGGTCAATTAACTTGTATTAACTAAATTAAATCAACATTCGGTGTGAGCATCCTTGTGTTTAAAGCAGTTTTTGTCCTCGGTGCACTTGAGCAGAGTTTCTCAGGAGCTTCGCAGGAGGTTTCTAGAAGCATCCGTTCTTCTGGATTGAGTCTGTCTCAGTTTGTTCTGTTTCTTCATGTGACTCCAGACAGACTGATGATGATCAGATCACATCTCTGTGTGCAGCACTAACATATATCTCACTGCATTATTACAATTAATGGCCAAATTAATGTTTGGAAATGTAAACTGATATGTAAACTACTGTAAAGTATTTAAAGTATTTCATTAAATAAAATTTGTATTTCTATATTAATATTATTTGACAAATTATTGAAAATGTTTGTAATTTTTTAAATATCAGTATTTTTTAAATATTATTTTGAAAACATTTTTAACTGTATTTATGCAGTGTAAATGCAGCTTCTTCAGTGCAAAGATGGATTTTGTTGATACTAATTTAATTTGGTTTGTAACGGCTCTATAGTGTCTTATTATTGCACTTGTTGAACTTAATTAAATGTAAGAATCTGACACAAAAGATGATGCGTCTAAGAATGTTAAAAAATGCTCTTAAAAAGGTAAAAATGCCCCTTGAAAACATTTGTGGTAAATATCACCTGTTAATAAAAACATAAATTTCTGTCACTGCTGTGAATTAAATATGAAGAATATGAGTCAGCTGACACGACACGCCTAAACCAGCTCAAAAACACATCTAATTATCATCATTTTTGGTCTGTATTGCACACCTGTTGTTTCTGAGTGCTTTGATGGCGTCTGACAACATGTGATATTGATGAACTATATACCAGAGAAATATGACAAACTCAAACAGGGGCATTTTTCCACATATATTGAATTTTAGGGTCATTCGAACTGCATTCTGGTTATTTCTGACACAATATTATCTATTTGTAAAAATTCCTGACTGAGCGACACGTGCTGGTGAACAAATCAGCGTTTTTGAATAATTCAATTAACTTAAAGAGTATCTTAGAGAGAGTCACTTGCTTGGTTTCTGAATGAATGGGTTGTTTTAGATGAATTGGTTGCATGAATGATTCAACGACTCGCTTATTAAGAAAGTGGTTTCAATATGACACCACACGCCTAAACCAGCTCAGAAAAATATCATCTAATTATCATTATCCAAGGAATCTCAGAAGATAACTAGATGCCATTGTTGTAGTGCTGTTTGTGAGTGGTTTGATGGCGTCTGACAGCGTCCTCTCGTGACGTTCCCGCAGGAGCGCGTGGGGAATTTCCTGGCGGATTTCTACATGGTGAACGGCCTGGTTCTGGAGTCCAGGAAGAGACGCGAGCACCTGAGCGAGGAGGACATCCTGAGGAACAAGGCCATCATGGAGAGCTTCAGCAAAGGAGGAGGGAGTATCATCGAGCAGAGCTTCGAGGTCAGTTCGCTCACGGCCTCCAACGGTTATGAAAATACAGTAATCGAGATAAAACGATTATTCTATCAGTGCGCTTTCGCTCCTCCATAAAAGCCCAATTTCACATGCAAATCATGTAACGTGACTTTTGCAAAACGGGATGTGTTTGATTTATTAAAGTTGATTAGATGCATTCATGTTTTTAAAAGCGCGAAAGAGAACTTGCGCTGTTCCTCGAGCAGAATACAGACATATAAAGTCAATTTTTAGCTCAAGGTGCGCGCCTAAACGGTCAAATACGTGCAAAAATGTATCAAAATGCATACATTATTAACATAAACCTTTATTGGTTATGTAATAAATACGTGCGTGGCAGTAAATTGGATTTGTGCGGCTCTTAAAGTGACAGCAGCCTAATATTCCTGCTGCGACTGTGTGCTTAATATTAATCAAACAACAAAGACAAAGACAAAATCACTCACTGCTCTTCACTGAACGACTTTTGTAGCTTTTGTAGAAACAAAGAAAGTTTAATTCTTACAGTGTTTTATTTTAGATTTGATTATTCATTTCTGTAGTAGGCTGTTAACTGAATACTTCAGAATTGCAGTAGCCTTTAAGCACAGTTTGTTTCATTTGTATCTTTTTATTCTATCGCATTTGTCCTTAGCTTTTTTTAGTACTTGGTGTTTAGTTATTTTCAATAATTTTGAGGACTTTTTTTGTTTGTTTTTTACCCTAGTATTCTGAGAATTGTGGAATTTCTCTAAAATCTAGATGTCATGTGATGTGGATTATTGTGATGAAGCATAAAAGCACAATAAGACTGAGAGTTTAACTCGAGGCGTTTAGTTTAATGCTGTTTACAGGAGCTGAGGATGATTGTGCAGCGCCCCCTGCTGGTGATGACGCTCTAGTACGGTGTAAACCACAGTCAGGTTTTTGGCCTGAGAACAAGAGGTGTTGCTCATTGATGAATTTTCTGTATTTGAAGCTTTGTGTCTCTGTGCTGTCACAGCCGGTGAGGCGTCAGTCGCTGACCGCTCCGTCTCCGAACACTATCTCCTGGGAGGAGTACATCACCGCCGAGACGGGAAAGTACGTCAGACCTCCATCATAAGCCCTGTTTGGATGGTAGTTGTTTCTCAGGGGGACGTAAGGGATTTTCATCATTTACAGCGGGTAGTCAGTGATTTTATTGCTGTCTGAATCCAGAATATCGGTGTTTATCTCTCACCACCCGTGTAAAAACCCCTGCCGAATAACCTACGGTTTTTTGACAAACACCAAAATCGTGCGGTAATTTAATTGCCGTCAGAATCCACATCTCTGAGTTTACGAGAAGAAATCGAATCAAAATTCAGTGTTTAATACCTTTTTGGCTACTGCCAAACACTGCTGGTAACTGTTGCACTTCGGTGTAATTTGCATGCATATTTATTCTGAAATGCTGGAAATAATTTAAAAGAACAATATTTTATAACTCCTCCACCACAGCGACTCGTGGGAGCAGAAAGAGAAGAAAAGCACGTAAACATTCGAAATATGTCTTTATTATGGCATCAGCTGGTTTGCAATACAATTTTAAAATGTGTATTATATACAGTTATATATATATATATATATATATATATATATATAGTTTGGGATCAGTAAGACTTGTAATGTTTTTAAAGAAGTCTCTTCTGCTCATCAAGGCTGCATTTATTTG